TGGATAAGTGGAATATTTCTTATGATGGAAGTGATGATGAAGAAGAATTTTTATTCAAAGTAGCTACATTAGTAAAAAGGCACAATTGCTCGGAATCTCGATTGTTAGCAGAGTTTCATGTACTGTTACGAGGGAAAGCCGAAATATCGTATTGGTTCTATCTGAAGCAAGAACCAGAAGCTACTTTCAAGGATTTAAAATTAGCTATTACTCACAAGTTCTGAGAGACAGACAACGAATCTGAAAGGTTGATGCGTGTTATTGGGAGACAACAGCAATTTATGGAAACGTTTGATGAATTTTATATGGATGTTGTCACAAAGAATTCCCGTCTGAAAGAACCGTTAAGTGATGCAAAACTAGCAGATATAATAAAAGGAAATGTTAGAGAATCTTTAGGCAACCTATTGTTCGCCCAAAGCATTTTTAGTTTAGATCACCTTTTGTCGGAAGCTCGTAAGGCCGAAAAGTTTATGGCTCGTAAACAAATTAGACGCTTGCAGCAGACAACTGGTAAATTTGCAAATGAAATAGAAGTATCGGATCTAAAGGCAGAAGAATCTGACAGCGAGAAAGAAATTGAATTATCCGCTTTTAAGAAATTCGAGAAAAGTTATGAAAAGGCAGTAGATAAGTCCAAGTATAGGTGTTGGAACTGTGATCAAATAGGTCACTCGTTTTATGACTGTCCGTCTGCAACAAGGATTCTTTTCTGTTACCGATGTGGTGAGAAAAATGTAACCTCGATTACTTGTCCTAAGCATAAGGGAAACAATTAGCCGTACGTGGGATTAAAGGGGTTACCTCGTTCGAGAAAGAAATCCCAATCAAACAATTAAATAAATCTAAAACAGAAGAATTAAGTGAATATAAAGTGAATGAATTACATACATTATGTTTAGAGCAGCTTAAGTGCAAGCTAAGTCTAAGAAAAATTTCATCTAAAATATTAAAATGTAGAGAAAGATTTAAAAATAGAATGCATTTACGAAAGGAATTAGAAACTATTATTTGCAGCTAGAGCAATGATAATAGGCCATATGCAAAAATTCGGATAGGCGATGAAGAAGTATATGGTTTATTAGACTCAGGAGCATCAGTTAGTGTATTAGGAAAAAATTGTTTGGAGAGAATGGATAAAATGCTTTTATCAATCAAAGAATTAAAATGCTCAATTAAAACAGCTGATGGAAAGTTACAAGACATTTTGGGAACGGTAGAAACAGAGGTTTCTTATAACGGATTAGAGAAAAACATTTTATTTTATTTAGTACCCAGTCTACAACAAGAAGTTTATTTAGGAGTTAATTTTTGGAAAGAGTTTAATATAGCTCCAAAATTGATTTCTGCATTAGAAGTGCAACCAGATAATGTTCCAATGATGAAAAGCAAATCGTTGTCGAATACTCAAACCAGACAACTTAAGGAAGTTATTGAAGAATTTCCATCGTTTACTAAATTAGGACTAGGTCGTACCAATCTAGATATCCATGATGATGATACGGGGACATCAGAGCCGTTTAAGCTCAAGCACCACCCAGACAAAAAGAAGTTAATTCAGAATTAGATCGTATGTTAGCTTTGGGAGTAATAGCAGAAAGCCACTCTCCTTGGTGCCGTCCCATGGTATTACTTAGAAAACCTGGAAAGGTCAGGCTGTGTATTGATTCTCGTCGATTAAATTCTATTACTAAGAAAGATGCATACATCAATGGATTACTCAGTCGATTGCAAGATACGTACTTCATCTCAGGTATAGATCTGAAAGATGCTTATTGGCAAACACCGTTAGATGAAGCATCGAGAGAAAAAACGGCTTTCGCTATACCAGGAAGACCTTTGTACCAATTCACTGTTATGCCCTTCGGCTTGTGCAGTTCAGCACAAAGAATGAGTAGATTAATGGATAAGGTAAAACCAGGGTCGTTGAGAGAAAAAGTTTTTATTTATCTTGATGATTTGCTAGTATGCAATTCGGATCTTGATAGTCACCTTAAAACACTAAGACAAGTAGCGGATTGTTTGAAAAAGGCTCAATTAACTATTAATGTCGAGAAGAGTAAATTTTGTCAACAAGAAATAAAATACTTAGGTTATATTGTGGGTCAAGGAACCTTGAAAACTGACCCGGGGAAAGTAGAGGATATCGTTCGTTTTCCAGTACCATCAACACAACGGCAAGTCAGACGATTTCTAGGCATGATTGGATATTATAGACAGTTCATCCCAAACTATGCTGAATTAGCAGCACCATTAACGGATTCTCTTTAGAAATCATTGAAGTTCGCATTATTGCCTGAAGCAGTACAGGCAGTTGCAAATCAAGTGTTGCAAGTGTTGGTACAGCCAGACTTTAATAAAGAGTTTACTATTCAATGTGACGCTTCGCGGGCAGGAGTAGGTGGCGTTTTAACACAATGCGATATAAACGGCAAGGAACACCCTATAGCTTACGTCTCTCAGAAATTAAAGAAACGTGAAAAAATTATACAGTCACGGAACTAGAATGCTTAGCAGCTATAGTGTGTTTAAAAAGATTTAGACCCTACGTAGAAGGCTTACCATTTAAAGTGATAACTGATCATGTCAGTCTTAAATGGCTTATGACACAAAAAGATGTAATAGGGAGACTAGGCAGATGGAGCTTAAAATTGCAACAATATGGTTTCAAAATTGAGTACCGTAAAGGCTCACTTAATGTAGTACCCGATACTCTGTCTAGGGGATATTTAGATTGTTTAGAAACACCCCAGAAGCTATCAGAAATGATTTGGAAAATCAATGCTTTCAATCACCCGAGTATGACAAATTGAGAATGCTAGTTAGTAAAAATGCCAATTCGTTGCCAGATACTTGTGTTTCGGGCAATTTCGTATACCAAAGAGTTCAATTTCGGAAAGGCGAATTTGAAGATGAAGTCAGCTTATGGCGATTGTGGTTACCTAGTGAGTTACGAGCTCAAGTTATTGCAAGTAATCATGATGACTCATCGTGTCATGCAGGTTTTGGTAAAACTCTCGCGCGAATTAGAGAAAAGTATTATTGGCCCAATATGTGTAAGGAAGTTAAGGTATTTGTAGAGCAATGTGAAAATTGTAAGATGGCAAAGCCAAGTAACATTATTCAAAGACCGCCCATGGGAAAACAAATAATTACAGAGAGACCATTTCAGAGAATATATATGGATTTGTTAGGACCGTATCCGAGAACTAAACTAGGTATTTCGATGGTATTTATTGCTATTGACCATTTTACGAAGTACATATTCTTAAAAGCACTAAAAAAAGCCAATAGCATAAATATTATGCAGTATTTAGAAGAACACATATTTCATGCTTTTGGTGTTCCACAATATATTCATAGCGACAATGGTAAACAGTTTGTATCTTCTCAAATGGTAGAGTTTTTACATAAATATGGGATTGCACAAATACGTACAGGCTTATATTCTCCTCAAGCAAACGTCAGTGAGTGAGTAAATAGAGAAATTTTAATTAAACTAAGGATTTTGCTTAAGAAAAAAAACGATCAGTGGGATAAGCATTTGTCAGAAATTTGTAGTGTCTTGCGTAGCGATTATCACAGCTCTCTAAAATGTACTCCATATTTTAGCTTGTTTGGTCAGCCGATGTTAAGGCATGGAAAAAGTTATAAATTGTTACAACAATTAGAAGCGCTGCGAGATAATCAGGTGAATGTAATGCCACATTGTAATAAAATGCAACTGCTACATGACAAAATAAAAGACAATCTATTGGAAGCACATTTAAAATCAGAAAAATGTTATAATCGAAGATCGAGATGGGTGAATTATAAAGAATGACAGGAAATTTTTAGAAAGAAAAAAAAAAAATAGGAACAGCACTATATGAAATAGAAGATATGCAAGGGAAATTTGTAGGAAAATTTCATGCTAAAGATCTAAAAGCTATGTAATGTGCCCGGCTTTATCTCAGGTTGTGGTCGAGCCCCACGAGAGAAAAATTGTAAAGGAGGATAAGTCAACCGTTTCTTCCTTTTCTTCGGCTTAGAAGCCTGCGAAGAAGGTGGTGTTGCGGCTGCCTTGTAAAATATGAAAAGTATGTTTGTTTTTTTTAACGTAGTCAGAAAGTGTCAGCTGATTCTTAATAATTTACATTTAAGTGGTAACCTTATCTGGTAAGAGAAAATTGTAAATCGGGTGATCTGGCAACGCTAGATGTCAAAAGCATTGGAAGGATCCCGTTGATTGGAGAGCTTTTTTTTGTACACCGATGCTGAGACCAAACCAAATCGCGTGGCGTGATTTCTTTTCTTTTAATTTTGGCGGCACTACGAAGCAGTCGTGCATTTTAGAGCTACATCAAGTAATCTTTTGCAAGCAAAGAGACCAGTTGTCTAAAGACACGTGGAAGAAATTTACCACCAACCGAATACTGATCAGTAGGCCAATATAACAGCCGGCGAAGTTTAGGCCGTGTAGCCATAGCCACGGGTGTGAAGTCCACCGTGAGAGTCTGCCACCACGAGTGTGGAATTCTAGAAGAACTTTCTCTATCCACGGAAAGGCGAAAATTTCGACGGAATGCTGTTGGCATAAGTAGCTTCGACGGCCACAGTAACAGCTTAAATTTCACAGTGAAAGGAGCAACAAGCACGTATGGCCTCGCATATAGCCTCAATGCTCAGATTTAGACTTTTGGTGCACACGCGTGCTTCTACATAACCTATATCTTCGGAACGCCAATGTGAAAATGGACTCTGAAAAACCATCTACATATATATAAGCAGCAGCCCTCCCTTCGTTATGAAATATGCTAAAGAAAATAAACAGCAATTTCAAAATAAGATCTTCGTAAATCCGAATTCTTAATGGTGCAGCGTGGACCGACCAGACAGTAGATCCAGAAGAACGAATGACGGGATGTAATTTTAATTGGAGCGCTGCCCTTGAATTATTCTTAGTATATATATATTTTTATTTTTTTTTTTTGTAGCCCAGTTAAACAAATATTAACGATCATGTTTTTCTTACAATGATTTTTGCAAGGAACGGTATACTTGCTTTTGTAATATAAGCTAATTCATATATACGTAAACTAAAGTCTTATTCATTTACAGATGGTGCTGATTTGAGCTCAAACATCACTTTACTAAATCATCTTTCACCGACATCATTTAAATTTCATACTTCATCATATGTAAAACGCTATATTCGCACGTAAGTTGTATCGTATCCTCAATGAGCAAAAACAAGTTAATTAAAGACATGATCAAGAAGCATGCTCTTCTAGCATATAAAGTTTCAAAACTTTAAAAATCAGTTCGTTTAAGAAAGAAAACATATATTGTTAAATATAATAGTCGGTATAAGCGTTGATATAATGATCAAGAACAAGATCATTAATATTTCATTAAATGTATCAGTAATATAATGATATTCACTTTGATGTAAATCTTATTTGAGGCATGCAGATGTGGAAGTATAAAGACGGGGTAGAAGTTTAAAATGTAACTAAATGGCACTAAAAGGGACAATCTCATATAATTTTACACACGAGGATTGTCATGGCGTTGCTTTGATCAGAGCAATTTATAGGGAGGGAAAATTAAGTGTGTAGCCTCAGTTATGCCATCCAACTAAGCCAAGAACTATCGTGAACGATAACGTCTGTCCGCTTTTCAGTTAGTACCGCTTTATAAGCACCAGTCTTGACACGTGTATTTGTTATTTATTGTTTCGGTAGCAGTAGCATTCTTAGGCTATGAGTTTTGTTAGTTTCAAGATCTCACACCCCATACGGCGAGCTAAGCAACGCAACCCGACGTGTCAAGCAGGAAACGAACACTCATAAGAATAGAGCATCAATAAGTTAAACAGCCCTAGGTATCATGCATATATCAGTGCACTATTCTAGCCGCCTACAGCCACCAGAGTTACAATAATTGTCATGAGAACGAGAGAGTAAAAACGACGTGGCATTCGGAGGCTGTGTTGTTTTTGTTGTTTTTAACTACTCAGACCGTTTTTTGGTGGTAAAAAAATTCCTTTGTTCTCTTTGCTATTGTCCGCCGAAGCGAGCAGACCGTGGTCAAAGTTATAAGTGATTTGTTAAAATTTGGATCTCTATAAAGAGGTAAGTAATTAACAAGTGTAAATTAATAACTAAACTATTCCTATTAATTAAATAGTTTTGCGACCAATAATTAAATTTAAAAAAAGAAATATAAATAAATAAACATACAAAAAGGAAAATTGAAAAATGCCATAAAAATTAAAAAGCATACAATATACTTGCGAAGCTTGTCATGTGAAACGAGTCGCAGAAAAAATTAAGATAGCTAAAGAAAATGAAGTAGAAATTAAATTTGATTACGCACTTTAAAATGTACTCCACGTGGCATTGTGAAACGAATCGTTCCAGGCGAGTACGTTCTCTATGGGTTAAAAGGCGCTAACGGATTTCCTTTCCAATTTCACTTATCTTTCTCCCAATATTAGTTTAGAAGGGTTTCCATTGTGTAAAAGTACAAACGAACAAACTTGGTGTAACATACAACGTATGTAAGCGAGCTGATGTCCGTGTAGCTTCTAGCGGAGCACGCGCTGGTTCCGGCACAGTGAAAACGGCTGGGGTGGGTTGACCACGAAATGGCTAAGCTACCTACTCGCAAGCTCTTATAATTATATATAAACCAAATTCGCGTGCTTTTAAGATGTCCAGTTCGATTGCACAAACAAAATTACGGGGGTTAGGAAAATTCTACAGAGTTACCGAAATGGTACTAGATTGATTAGGGACCTTATCTGTATATGTTGTTGTTATGATGCGCTGGTATCAATGCGACAGCTGTTGCCCACCCTATCACCCATGATCACCGGGGACGCTTGACCAGACAAATGGTCGGTGATCCTAAAACAACACAGATTACATTACCCCAAGGAACGATCGATCGAAAATTAAGTTTTTGTATGAAAAAACATTTTGTTTTTCAAGATATCTTGACCAAACCTCGGCACTTATTAGTTTTACATTACTCCTCATATATATGTAAAATCCTATTAATATCGGACCGCTATATTATATAGCTGCCATAGGAATAATCTGTCGAAAATTAAGTTTTTGTATGAAAAAACATTATGTTTTTCAAGATATCTTGACCAAACTCGGCATTTATTAGTTTTACTATGCTCCTCACATATAGACAAAATCCTATTAAGATCGGACCACTATATCATATAGCTGCCATAGGAACGATCGGTCGAAAATTAAGTTGTATGAAAAAACATTTTGTTTATCAAGATATCTTGACCAAACTCGGCATTTACTATTTTCCCGGTACTTCTTAGATATGGGCAAAGCACTATGAGCATTATGAAAAGGTTGGGTCTGCAAGGGTATTAGATCTTTGGCGTGCCAATTAAATGCCATAATTAAATTATTATTAGACCATTCTCTTTTTGCTCGGAAATTAAGTGCAGAAAAAAAATACAATTTAAGAGTTTTTTGCTTCACTTACATATATTCACTCCATCTCCGAAAGCGCTTCCATCGATGTAATGTGCGATGATCTGCTGAAAAAAAATCACTTCGATTTGCACAAAATAAATTTAGAAGAAAGAAAAAAAAAGAAGGCTCTAGATAACATGTAACTTGTATTCTCTCTCTTTCTCTTTATACGTTGCTTTTCGAATTTGTTTAAAATCTGGTTCTCACCAGCAATATGGCGATCCGAATTTCGGAGCATGGAAGGAGAGAAGGAGAATATAGGCCAATGGAAAGAGTATGTAAGACAAGCAAAAAACGGAGTTAAAGAAAAAATGCGGAATAAGAATTTGACCATGCGGTGGCACTCTTTTGCCGAAAAAAAAGAAAAAAAGTAACTCCCACATAACTATTGTAAAATTTTAAATTATACGCTTAAGGCGACTTATTCAGATTTTTCACTTTTCTGTTAGCTAAGCTAATTATTCATATTTCCAGCAAAAAAAGAATAACACTAAAAAAAAATGTTTGCCGCTGCTAGTTGCAGAAAGTCGAAAGACTATAATATCTCGTTATACTTTGTTGATGAGAATATTACGAAGCGTCATACCTGCAATAGACAGGTTGAAATATAGGTGCTTTTTAGTCTTTTGGGTCAACAAGAAAAACGGTCTAGCAAAAATTTAACTTACCCCTGATTGGGTCTGGCACTTTTCATCGATGCGGTCACTTAGATATTTTTTGAAATTACTTCTATAAAAATGATGCTTCAAAAAATACTGTTTCTCACAGGTTAAGCTTGATTGTGAGACAACCTTTCTCCACAGTGGACCAAAGGTAAAAGAAAGATTTCAGCTCCGATCGCCTTAGGGGAAGCTATTTACAGCGACACCAGGACAGACGCCATTTCCAATTATCAAATTAACATTCCTCTACTATTTTTCTATTTCACTCGTTCCAAGCGATATCACGCCCGGGTTGAGCCATAGATGGCGAGATGTACTAGGGTAAGCAAGGTACAAGACCTTGACTGGACTTACATTGTCTATTTTTGGACTGTTTAGTTAAACTCAAACAAATTGTTCTTGCTTCAAGCGCCACTACAATGGCCAATTTTGACTAACGTCAATGGTACAAAGCCTGTATTTGTAGCTGGAATATATGTACGTCATTCCAAGCCCCGTGATCCGAATATTTATTTAGAAGAATTTGTCTGTGAATTATCAGAATTGATCACAGAGGGCATGATGTTTCGAGATACGCACTTCAAAATTTCTATTAGAGCATTTATTTGCGAAGCACCGGCCCGCGCCTTAATTTTGGGTGTGAAATACCACTCTGGGTTCTACTCATTTAACTATTGCGTTCAGAAGGGAGAAACTTTTAACAGGCGAGTAATTTTTAGAGGATCATGTAATCCTCCATGAACCAATTATAGCTTCCGAAACCGTCTTCAACCAGAGCACCACAACATACAATGCAAACTCATTCCTTTTCTTTGAAACGACACTAAATAACTTCGTTTAATAATAAACTGATATGCTTCAAAACATTTTACCAAGATAATTCAATAGAGAAGTTAGAGCTTTAGAGAATCTCGACAGATTTAAGGCAACGGAGTTTCGTACTTTTTCATTATATACCGGACCCATTGTTTTGAAGCACATTTTAAAGTTTAAAGTTTGTTAAATGTCTTTGTAAGCCAAGCAAATAATGTTTACAGTAAGGTTCCCTGCACACCATAAGCTCCTTTCCATTTGAAAACTTTCTGGGGCATCTAAAAACAAGTAAGAGGTTCTAGTCGGGAACTCCCGACTAGGGGTTACCCTGAACCCTCTTCTTCAAACATCAAATGCAAATATTCTATTTTAGAAGCTACATGTCAAGTTTGGTGACTCTAGCTCTTATTATTTACCAAAATTGCCCAAAAAACAGGATATCGATATCGATTGCTTGGAAACGGAGTAACTTATCGATTATCGGAATCAAACTCGATCTGGACAGGCACTAGAAGCACCTACATCTAAAATTTCAAGTCAGTAGCTCTTATAGGTCACCTCTAGGTCACCTCCTTTATCTCTTCCTGAGGATGTCTATCATCCAACTTTAGAGATTGCAATGCTAAATTGTAATCCTTCCATTTCGTGCTCATCAGCCAATAAGCCCCGCTATTGCTTTCGCAAAGGAAATTATTCTTTGCTGAATCAGCTTATTTATTCAACCGATTGGTCTTTCTTATATGACTCAGTTGATATGAATACAGCCATTAAATCTTTTTATATCACCCTAAACTCCCTCTTAGATGTGTGTATTCCTAAGTCAATTCCTTCGACTACTTTTTCAAAACCACCCTGGTTTACTCCCAGATTATCACATCTTAAAAATGTAAAATCCAAATATTTTAAAAAGTTTAAAAAGTCTGGTTCGTGTACAGACTTGGCTAAATATTCCATAGCCAAGTCGAACTTCTTTCTCAATGCTATGAGAATTATCTAATTCGTTGTAAAAGGCAATTCGCCCGAAATCCAAGACAGTTTTATAATTTTGTAAACTTGAAGCGTAAATCTTCAATTTGCCATCTTCTTTTTTTCTTGGGATGGATTAAGCTAGCAATGACACTGATTCTGCTAACCTCTTTGCTAATTTTTTCCAATCAACTTACTCTTCAGTCTGTCCTAATACTAATTCTTACCCTTATACTATTTCCTCCGCTAGTTCTATACCTCCCCCCATTATTTCACACTCCTCTCTCCTATTAGCTATAAACTTTCTAAAATCTTCTCACTCTCCTGGGCCGGACAATATTCCTAGTTGTCTACTCAAGGAGTGTAGTTCTTCCCTTTTCTATCCATTGCTAAAGCTTTTTAATCTATCCCTTGAAACTTCTGTCTTTCCATCTCTTTGGAAAGAATCTTATATCATTCCTCTTCACAAGAAAGGTGGGAAGTCTGATATACAAAATTACAGGG